TTGAATGTGAAAATGGGTGCGGAATAGTGAGTGACGCCGTGAAAGAGATAAGCTTCGCTTCAGGCGTCGTCTTGTGTCGCGTGTCTCTTCACATATTTCTTTTTGAAGTGGTATGGTGAACATGGAACTCAGGTGGTGAAAAAGAAGAAGAAAAAGAAAAAAAACCATCAGATTAACAGACCACCTATCCATGTTAGTGTTTGCATCATTGTATTTAAAAAACATAACTCATTCGATCGAAGATGAGAACCTTTTGAAGAGAACGAGTGAATCCCGACTAATCGGCTTATGACAGAAGCATTCAAATTCAACGAATAATGTTTCATATTCACGCTCACTCAGCAGGAATCAAATCAACAGTCTATATTCTTTTTCTGTTAAACAAATTCTTCTTCGGGCTCGCGTTCAACGCAACTTTCTTCGTCAAGAAACTACTTTTGTTAATCTAAACGTCAGTAATTGATGTCATCATTACAAAACGAAGACGAACAATAGTAAAGTCAAGCTTTTTTATTGATTGACTTTGCTAGTGTATGTATTCATAGTGCTCTTCCAGTCTTATTGACACATAGGCTAATCTCTCTACCCACCATCTTCTGTCAACAAATATTGGAGTTATTGAACAAAAAGAAGAAGAAGAAGAAAAGCGTAAATCTCGCAATATGTGTCAACAATTTTCAAGAGTAGACATCATTACATCCAATTAAATAGCTTTTCATTTGTTTAACAGCTTTCTTTTCCCAAATGTGTGTTATCAAAACAAAAGAAATGAATATGACGCTTCATATTTATTCATTTACACTGTTCGCCCACAAGCTTTAAGACAGACACAACATTCAAACAAAAGAGAGAGAGAGAGAGAGAGAGAGAGAAAGAAAAAAAGTTAATTGAAAATTTTAAAGTTTTGATGATGATGATGATGGTGCGAAGTTGGCCAACCCATAAATTCCTCACTTGCTCGACCATACATCGCTGTCGGCTGAAGAAAATCCATCTCTTGATTTCGATATGTTAATGCACTTGCCGCTGTTCCATATATCGGCGGACTATTCGCGGTAGCCGAGTTCGCTTTGTAGAGATGCTGAGGTTCATTACCGTAAAATAGTCCACTTGGATACGAGGTTTGATTAGGACTATACGATGTTGGGTACATGTGATGATAAGCAGCTGCCTGAGAAGACCAAGCAGCTAGAGATGAAGCTGCAGCGGCAGCAGCAGCAGTTGAATTATCTGATGTTGGTGAACGATAGAATGCGTTGCTTGTTGTCGAATTTGACGAACATAAACTATTACTACCACCACCATTTAAACTATTTGTGCTGGATGTCGACGGTGGTGAACGATTGTTGGTTGTCTGAGAAGAATTTATTCGACCGTTTGGACTAATCATCGATGGACTTTTGGCTTCACGTTTGCAAATAGGTGTTGCGGCTGAAAGTGAAGTATCATTTGATGAATTGGATTTGTCATGAATGCCACTATTAGATGATGATGAAGGTTTTTTTGTTGCTTTATCTTGTTGACGACATTTAGCACGGCGATTTTTGAACCAAACCTGATCAAAAAGAAAAACATTAGTTGGGTAAGTCTCTTGCAATGAACTTTCATACTTGTATTCTCGATTCGGGTAGATTGACTTTCAATGCAACTTCTTCACGCATAAATATATCAGGATACCGTGTTCGATCAAATAATGTTTCAAGCTGATCAAGTTGTGCGCGGGTAAATGTCGTTCGTTCACGTCTTTGTTTTCTTTGTGATGAGCCTATTTAAGAATAAAAAATGAATAATTAATACCGAAGAACAAACAAACTTTACCATTATATGATAATGCCGAAAACGAATCGGGATGTTGAGGAAAACCAAAAGCAAATTGCACGCCTTTCGTCGGATCGGAATATCCAAACTTCAATGCAGTTGGGTCACTTGCCGCCATAGATGATGCTGCAGCGACATAGTTCGAATAATAATCACCTAATGGCGGTGAAGGATACTTGGCTGCTGCACTGGTACTATTAACGGAAGCCACGATTGCTAGAAGACAAATAATCACATGAAAATCTAATCTTCAGCTTTCTATTTTTTAAACAAATCAAAGTCTTTGGCTTTTTTTCTTCTTTCTACTTTAACTGGGATAAGTCTATCCTCAATCGGCATTAACACGTGTCAAATTTCATGCGTTTATGATTGAATAAGACGACAGAGGGAGTATGTTTGGTAACATCGAGATAAATCTCGGTTAAACTCATAAATAAATACTTACCAGGTTTTTTTCGTCTTAGTTAAGATATACCAATGTAAATGAATGAATGAATGAATAGGAATCGTCTCAAACTTCAAATAGATTAGAACTGATGATGAAAAAAAACATCGAACACGCACAATCTTTTTCTCTCTCATTCTCTCTTTCTCTCTCTCTCCCTCCCTCCCTCCCTCCGTCTCTTTCTCCTATTTCTCTTATTCAACGGTAATGAAACGACTGTATCACGCGACGATCGTTAGTCGTTCTTGATTGACAAGCAATGTGTATGTTTTTCTTTTTCTCTTTATCCAATCAAATTTTTTCTCCATATCAACGGAAAGAAAAAAACCTGATTTTTCTTCTGACCAATCAGAAATAAGAGACATCTAAGCCAATGAAAAAACAATTTTTCGATAACATCAAATTTTCAACCCTATGAGTACAAACAGTATCCTTCTCTGTTCTCTTCAGCTTGAAATAGAGGATTAACTCGTGTGAACAACTTGTTATGATGCCAACATCAAATTGAATTCGATATCTTCAGGCGTATTACGCCGAAAATGCATCATGTATGAATACCGAAGTTCGTCATTGATTTCTTTTTCTTTAACTACATTAGACACCTGTGTTTCTTTATCATCGTCTCTATTGACAATATTGACTTTGCTCATCAAATGATATGCATAAAGAATAAGATAAGCTTGAGACACTCTCACATACCACGCACATTAACATAGACTAGAAATGTGTGTATATATACGTTTGATCATCTTTGTACACACTTATCATATTTAAGCGAAGAGAATGTATGTTGTTTACCTCATGGCATTTTTTTTTCTTCTTCTATATGTTGATCTAATTAATATGGTAATACATTAACTCAGAAAAAGAAATCCGAAAGGAATGTTCTTTCGTGTGTACGTTCTTTCTTCTATTCTGCGACATGTGCAGTAAAAAAAATGGCAATTAATTTACGTTTTTTTTTTCTTTAGCTTCGAGATGAATGTGCGTGACAGTGGCACGCACACACGTCAATCACAGTTGTCATCTACCTGTATGTCCCATGACATTCATTAGAGCGCATCAATTGACAAATTCGAGTGGTTGTTCATTTTTTTCTTCTTGATAATTGAAGTCTTGAAGACTTTCGTCTTTTGAACATCGTGGGAAACACATTCTTCTTTCTTCTTTTGTGTCAAGTAAAAGAGAAGAAGTAAATTATTCAAAAGATAATCGACGAATGGAACATGTCTATTGTTTGATTGTACGAATATCAATTCCGCAAGTGATTGAAGACAATGAAGGAAAATGTGTCGTTTAAAGACGCGGAAAATCGGATCATAAACGTTGAATAAAAATAAAAATTCATTAAATATGAATTCTCTCTTTGAAATCGAATCTGTTGATTAATTGTTGATAGTGAACATAGGCTTCTTGTTCAGAAGAAAAAAAAAAGCAGCATAACAATCTCAGTTCAATGTCATGAAGAGGATGGAAGAACAACTTTTGACTTGAGAATAATCCTCTTTGCTTATTAAAAATCTTTTGAAATGTTAAAAAAAACATACAATTATTTCTTGTCAAAGGATGAGAAAATTGATTTTCTTTAATCCTACGAAATTAAATTTGAATTTGTTTGGCAAACTAAAGAAAGCTCTTGTGACACTTGATTGAGTAGAATAAGACACAAGAAGCTCAGGTGAAGTCAGGAATTATATAATAGAAAACTAATAGAGAGAAAAAGCTCCTATGACCTCAAAATATTTCCATTAAATCATAGAAAATCTAACGTTCTTAATCCGGTCTCAAACAACCTGTCAAAATACATGAGAAAAGGTGATGTCTTTCATAAAAACGCTCGGAATTTTTCTTTCGAACTAAGTATCAACTACCATTGATTAAATTAGTGTATATTTGTCATTATTGATTCTTCAATTCGCATCGGATTCGAGTAGATTTCAATCGGTAGAACGTTGACAAGGCTTCATAATGGTTCCATAAATATATTCTGGACTGACGTCAGTATCCGATGCGTAATTTGTTTATTAAAAGGGATTCAGACAAAGTCTTGAGATAAAAGTTGATTAGGATAATCTAAAATACAACAAGTGTCGTACCATTAACATACTCTTTCGTTCTATCGTCAGTATTTATACGAATCTTATGTAAATTCAGTACATGATTTCATTGAGATGCAAACATTAGAGAAAGGTTCTCTTATTGCTTCGGATTGAGATCACTGACGAGATAAAGCAAAAAGTTCATATCGATTCGAACGTATTTTAACGCGAATACAATAATCAGGTTAAAATTAGTCGATAGATTCAGATTAGAGTGTTTCTCTCTTGACAAATTTATAACAGGAACATTCGGCTAAGAGGAAAATCGGATCCTATGGTTCCTTCAGATTCCTTGCAATCCTCTTGCATTCTAGATTTCACTTGTTCTCTTAGATAAATCCATGTAACATCAAAACCCAACCTGTGACATCTAATTAAAGCATTAAAGATGTTCAACTCATAGCAATGCCTCGTTGACATTGAATAAAATGAAATACTTTTCACCCTATACCTGAAGGTGACTGTTTATTTGACGATGTAATGAACAAAAAAGGAAGAAAATCCAGTTAAATATTATATACAAACAAAAAAAAAGAACGAAAAAAAAACACGAAATGACTTATAATCGTTTCTTTCTGCCTTTCCTAGGTTTTGTCATTATTGATTGGCTAAGTTCAGGGTTTTGATTTAGTAACTCCTCGAGTTTGTTTAAAATTTTTTCCTGTTGCTTGTTTAAAAGACTTTCCACATAATTAGTTTGTTGTGATAAATCCGCTTGTTTAACTGAGAAACTCTGCGATGAAGTTTTACTCTGTTGCGATTCATTGTTGAAAAGAATTTGTTTCAAAAGACGAATTTGTTCTTCACTTTCGTAATGACATTGATCAAATTGATCAATTTGCTCTTTGACTTGCTTGAATTTCATTTCTAAGTCTTTAGTTTTACTTGAATCCGATGAGGAATTCTGTTCGCCAATGTTATTCTTGTTCATGAAAAGTTGTAAATTGTATTTCGATTTCATGTCTTCATATTCCGAACATTTCTCGTTCAGTGTAGCTTGTAAAGCATTAATCTGTTCTTGTGCTTTCGCGAGATCTTTTCGCAGATGATCAGCTACCGACGAATCAGCAGGTATATAATCAATATCGAAAATCGAATGTGGATGTTGCTCATGCAGAGCGTGTAGACGTTTGTTTTCATCTTCCAGTTCGCTGATTCGTTTAGTTAACTTTCCAAGCTCGTTTTCGTGATTATACTTAAGATTGGCGATAGTTCCGTATAACTTTTGAAGTAAATCGGTTAAGCTTGAAGACGACGATGACATTGTTGAACGTTTCGGACTCGCTATCATTCTAACTAGAAGGAAAACAGAAGATTTGAATGCTTTTTGTATCTGTGAAACGATGTGAAAGGTAACATATGGCACTTGGGGATCCAGTCAATCCTTAGCGCTACTGAAATGTTCATTTGGTTGATTTCTCGAAGATTGCACTTGAAATTTTCTCGAGTGAACGGGTATTCCCTCATAAATAAAACGGGATGAATTCCTACATGATGTGTTTTTTTTATTTCATTTCATCAAACACAAATAACGGTGACACAGAAATAACAAGAAAAACAAAAGAAAAAAGAAAAAAAGAACAAAACATTTTCTTTCTTTTCTTCAAAACACATATTCTTCTTATCGTTTTGCTGATTTTATGTAAACAATTTCTCAATATTTTGTTTCAATGTTTGAATTTGCGGTTTTAATTGTGAACCTTCATTAACCGTGATACTTGCACTAATCACTGGACGCGTAACTCCACAAGCACGACCTAAGGCTTGTTTGCTTCGTACAAATACGTACGGAACGTTCTTATCTTCACATAATAATGGTAAATGCATCAGAATTTCAATTGGTGTTGTATCAGCAGCCATAACTAAACAAATCAAGAAGTTTTTGCCGCATATTCGACTGAAAATGTTCACTTACTGATCAATTCTGATTTACCACGATTAAGTGTTTTTGTTGCTTCGTTGGCACCTTTGCGTAATTGACGCTGAAAACATTTTCCGAAAGAATGAAACTCAATGTATCAAGTGGGTTCAACTTACGTAGTTATGTGCTTGATGAACAAGTTCGAGAATATCTTTGGTAAGTTTTGCGTCAGCCAATGGATAGGCTTTGGGATTGACATCACCTTCAGCAGACATGATTTTGTTGTTTTAATTGATATTCGAAGCGAATTTATCTGAAAGAGAAGGGAGATAGATTGATTCCACCAATGTTCGAAATTATCAAGCAAAAATAAATAATATATTAAAAAAAAGGAAACTGTTTAATGCACAATTTTAGGGAGAACAAATAGATGATGAAAATCATCGAAATCATATGTATGTCTCATTGATAAATCTGTTAATTTCAAACCACCAATTCTCTAAAAAAACAAACAAAATCGAAGATAAAATATTCGAAATTAATCTTTTCTTCAACATACTTTCAATCCGCATGTTAATGGAACAAGTTCTATATCGATATCATATGTATGATGTGCCTCTAATCTTCCCAATTGTTTACTAATAATTCCAATCCACAAAAACTGTTCACGTTTAGAAAATATATTATCAAACGATAACGATAAATCCATCGGTCGTTGTGTACAATTCAGAATTCTTATAGAAAACTTTTGTGATTCTTCAACTTGACATTGACCTAAGCCGCGCATACAAAATATACGTAAATCCGGTAGATATCCTAAGTTAGTTGTAGCAATCGATGGAGTCTAAGAAAGAAAACACTGATTAGAAATAGGGAAAAGTCAGATTTGATTTCGTACTGGTTTGGGGAGTTGGTTGGTTTGTAAACGACCGCGTTCACCAAAACCGGACATCCAGACAATATCAAGTTTGCCTAAGGTCGGTGTTGAATGGATTTCTTCAAATGTGGCCTCTTTTCGAGGTTTTAAATAAAACATATAAGTTGTCGTTTCAGTCGGACGAATGAAACGCCATGGCTCACAGAGTGAACTAAACATCACAAATCACAAAACTATTTATTCGACTTTGAACATCGATAAATACTTTTCGGAATTTTCATGATGAAGATTACTCATGTTTGTAACTGTGTATGCAAGTGATGGTTCTAGATCTACAGTTCTATAAAACAATCAAGCAGATCATCAGAGAAAATGCAAATGATGAGAAAACGAACGTCATATTCAGAATCGTTGGCGTTTGATTTTGAATATCGGCAACAATGTAATATTCATCATGCTATTCAACACAAAGATTAGACAAGAATGAGTTTCATACGATTCTTACCGTTGCGCCCAAGATAAATCGCG